GGCGCATAAATTAAAACACCGGCGGAATGAATTTTCTTTATTTTTTTTTTGAGTCCTGCCGGACGCTCAACTCTGTTTTTCCCTGCTCAGCTTCTGGCTTGCGGGGAGGTGTGCGAGCTCTGCAATTGTACTGATTCCAACTGCCTCATTTTATTGTGCGTTGCTTGGGTGCTGCCATTTGTTGCTGTGGCGTGGCTGTGTGACTTGTCTCTCTCCTTTTGCTTCCGCTCTCCGCTGAATGGGACTTATTTTGTGCTGAAGGCCACACGCAAGTGGTAGGAGTGATGGCGATGATGACTGGCCGTGTGCTGCTGGTGTGTGCCCTCTGCGTGCTGTGATGCGGTGCTGTTTTTGGACACGCGACGGAAGGTTACTGCAGTGAGGGTGGAGGGAGCGGTTTAAGGCACACGAGTAATGGTGGAGATGATGGCGTTTCTATAAAAGCGGACTGCGGGTTGCTATCCACTCGAATGGGATTAATAAATGCGGTTGAAGCTGCGGATGAGGGAGGATTGGGCGGTGATGCAGGTTCATCTCAGGATAAGTCGAAGGAATCATTGCAGGATAAGAAATTGAGCGGTAATACGGAGGGCGATGCAGCGCTTGGCTCAGGGGGAGTTGTTGTCGCAGATCCACCACCACCAGCAGCAGCGGCACCACTGCAGAAGCCCGGAGGAAGAAATACAGGAGAGGAGGGAAAACAAGAAGAGTTGGATAAAAAAGGAAATGAAGCAGAGGATAAGAGTAGAGGCGAACCTGGTCCCCCAAAACCAAAACCTGAACAATCCTCTTCATCAGCATCTGGCGGCCCTGGCACTCAGAGTGATGTGGAACTCGCTTTGGAGGTTACTTCCGAGAGTAATAAATTCTCCGATGACGCGCTGAAACAAGAAAATGCGGGTAAAACGGAAGTAACAAAACTATCGGACGGAGAACCAGAAAAAGGCAAAAGTAATATGGCACTCACGGAGACACATGACAGTCAAGCGGAACAGAAAGAAACACAACTACCAACACTACCAACAACACAAGTGAATGAACATTACAGCTCTGGAGATACCGTGGCTAAGCAACAGCTACAAAAACCCCAAAGTGAAATGGACCCAAAGAACAATTCACAAACAAAGAGCGCTGTTACAATCACAGCCAGTCAGCACAATGAACCATCTGCCGACCATGCAGGATCAAGGCCACCATCACCCGCGGCAAGCGGTGATGCCGCCAATAATGAAACCGACAAGACCACTGAAGACGGCATCCCGAAGAATGATTCAGCAGCTGATGGTGAAGAGAAACGAGAGGAAAAAAGAAATGAAAATATGAATGCCAATCCGAGGGAAACACCGGTTGAAGCCTCAGCCATGAAACCCACAAAGGCGACTACAGATGACAGTGACGGCAGCACCGCGGCCTCCCACACCACCTCCCCTCTTTTGCTTCTTCTTGTTGCGTGTGCGGCTGCGGTGGTGGCCGCGCGAGAGTGAGGGAGAGAGAGCCGTGCACCGCCCGCACACACACTCTTCCTTCTCTCTCTGTGTGTGTGTCCCCTTGCATGGACTCTCGCCCTCACCTCACCCCGCGAGGCACACACAATAATGTGCCCATTGTATATATGCATGCACACCCATGCAGGTCCGTTGGTGCTCTCTTTTGCACGACACGCACCGCTGCCGTCCTGCCTGGCTGCATGGGCGGAGCACCGTAACTGTTTCTGTTTTGTTTTTATTGCATTGAGTGGGCGACCTCTCTCTCTCCCTCTGTGTGTGTGTTTTGCTTTACGGGAGCAATGAGAGTGTGTGTGCGCTGGTCGTCCCACGCTGCGGCTTTTTGTTTTATTGTTTTACTTGTTTTGTGGTTGAGTGCACCCATTTCATTGCCCTTTTTGATTTGTGGCTTGCTTTGACGGTGGACGCCTAAATTGTTTGCTTTTTGTGTATTATTATACTGTTCCTTTATTGTTGAGAGAGTGTCAGCCTCTTGTATTCTTGTAGCGCCACTGAGTTTTTTTTCTTTGACATGCGCCATGCGTCATTTGATTCACGTTATTCTGCGGCCTGCATTGCTTTTGGTTCTGCTTGTGATGATGTTTGTGCTGTGATTTGTCGGCGGGTGTCTTGCTGTCAGCCTGACTTATCCTTCGTTTCTTGACGGTTTGTTGCGTACTGACGGTGCGTGGGCGTCTCTGGTGATAGTGAGGGCCGCATGTCTCAGAGCGCAGGATGCGTCGCGGGTGTGCGGCGTCGTTTGGAAGTACCGATGGGTGACCATCCGCATCCAGGCGTCATCAACGGACTGTGAGGGCAGCATAAGGCACTGCGGCTTCTTTTGGCTTTGCACAAAGAGTTTATTGGACGGTACGTTTGTTTTCAATCTTTTGCAGCTTTGGTGGGGAAGGTGGTAGGCTGAGGGCATCAGGACTGAATTCATTTGTGTGGCTGCGTTCCGTTGAGTTGCGGCCAGTCGTGGCACTCTTTTGGGGTTTGGCCGCCAGTCTCTTTTGTTTACTTCCCACCGCAGCACGTGGAGGCCAATGGTACGAGGAAGACTTGTTTAGACGGGTGTGAGCTGCTGCCGTGCGTGGTGCATGGACTATGTGATTGTGTGGGGAGGTGCGTTGGAGTGACGAATACTTCTGTTTGGCGTGTCGCGGTGTGTTGGAATGATGTTTGGAAGACATGTGAAGGGTGTTGTTTGTGATTTGTGTGTCTTCTCTGGTGGAGCCGACATGTGTGCGGGATTGTGGCATTGCTGGCTGACAGTTCCACGTCACTTTTCAGCATTCCTGGATGTGCTGAGGAATGACGGCTGGCGACCAGCGTGTTGGTGCTGCTGGTGGGAATAAGTGCATCGGGAATAGGGCACTTTCTCTTTTCCGTGCTGGAGCCGATGGACTGGCACGAGGGCACCGGCTGCGGGCTGCCTGCCAGCACGTGTGAGCGGCGGATGCATGCACACACCGACGCTCATCGCAAGAGCTTGTGCGATCACGGTGGCTTTTGTGGCGTGCTTTTGTGGACGTCAGCCCGTCGAAGAATGTGTGAAGCAAACGGCTGACTGCACACGAGGAAAATAAGTGCGTGCACTGTGCCGTGTTTCGGCGTCGATGGCAGAGCGGCATGAAGCCCGTGCTGGCAACTGAGATCTTTGCATCGCGAGAGATGTCGGTGCTGATTTTGGATTGTCGAGGGTGAAGTGATTTTGCTGCTGCCCGTGTGTGTGGCCACTCCGGCAGAGGGCGGACACAGAAGGGAGGGATGCAGACGCTGCGTGTGTGTGCAGGTGCCATGCAACAGCGTCACAACAAACATGCTGCGACTCGGTGACCCTCACATCGCTGTGGTCCTCACGAACAGCCGAGGCACGGCCCACACCGATGCACTTAGTGGACGGAGTGAGGCATCTTTTGATGTGCTGCAGGGAGCAGGATGTGTTGACGCAGCCACGACGTGCATGGAGTGTCACGATGGCACAGTCAGCTGTGGCTGGTGGAATAATTGCTTCTCGGAGGCAACAGAGAGAGAGAGAGCTGCTCCTGCTGCTGGCGTCGTTGCTGCCTCTTGTGGATTTTCATGCCGATTATTGTCTGTCCGCTGATCATGGGTGGCATGCCTCCACTAGTGACGTCGTCTGCAGGCATTCCACAGCAGCAGTGAAACACACATCACGTCGCATGCTTTGGCTGTGGATATGGTGTCGTGAGTGCAGCCGGCATTATTTTGCCCGACTCCTTTTCACTGCCTTGCGACGAATAGATGCGTCGCCGCCCGAGTCATTCACTGCAGCTCCGTGTGTTGTACTGCCGGCACAATACTCTCCTGATGTCTGACGCCTGGCTGACAGTCCAACACCACTGCGCTGGGACATGCAAGGATGTGGACTGCCGCTCACGGTGTTGGTCACCGCTGTTTGGATGCGGCGGCCACACGAGCGGATGTATTGTGGCACAATCAAATGCGTGAAATACGCGGAATCACAGCGGCTGCAGTAATACCGACGGTGTGGCACCACGGAGTATGTGAGGGGGTGATGCATGATGAATCACGGTGGGCGGCATGCGAGGGAAGTGCACCGCGACGGAGCGTCATCCCGCCCTCAGCCTGCAGGGGAATGCACGCCCACAAAATATATGGCCGAGGCACCACCAAACACACATGCCCTTCCATGCAGCAATAAATAGGAGCGAAGGTGCGTTCTGGTGTGTGGGAGTCCACTCACATATTCTCATTTCCACCGCAATAAACGGTGAGGAATCAGGTGCCACAGCAACGAAGGGAAACACAAACATCTATTGCAGCACTTTACCAGCGAAAGGCAGGAACAACACACACCGAATTATTGGCTGCACCAACACAAGAAACATTCACAAGAGGAAAACAAATAATTGTGCACCTTGCGGAAATTCTTGAAACACACGATCCAGGCATGAAGGTTTGCCGTCTGCAAAAACCCAGACGAACAAAACATATGCACACATCCGCCAACATCCAAACAGAAAAACAAATAAATGAATGCTTGCATTATTGCATTCCTTGCGCTTGTTTTTACCTGTGCGGCTGCTGCGGTGGTGGCTGCACCTCCCGTGGACCAACAATCCGCGTGGTGTGCAGGGATCTTTTTTTTGTATTGTTACTTTGCCTTTTTGTTGCTGTGTGCGCTGCACCTTCTTGTGTGTGTGCGCACCCTCCGTGAGGGGTGCCGACACGACGGACCGCTCTCGCCGTATGTGCATGCGGTGGAGCCTTGTGTGCCGCTCCTGTTTGCTTCTCCCTCTTCCATCTGTGTGTTGTTGTTGTGGCAGGGCTGTGTGTGTGTGTGCCTGCTGCCGTGGATTGGAGTGTGTGTCGTGCGTGGTGTGCGGCGTACGGTGCATGCCTGGCTGCTGCCCTCTCCTCATGTGTGTGCCCTCTGTGTGTGTCTGCCGCACCTCTCGTCTCCCCTGCTGCTCTCCATTTCCCTCACCGTGCAGATCAGCTCCACACCACTGAACGACCACACTCACGATGATGACGTGCCGTCTGCTGTGCGCCCTGTTGGTGCTTGCCCTGTGCTGCTGCTGCCCGTCCGTGTGCGTTTCAGATTCTACGGAGGAAACTATTGTTGTTGTTCTTGAGGATGAAGAGCAGGGCGGCGGTATGTCGCCTCCTCTACCACAGCCACCAACTGCTAAGCCGGATGAAGCTATTGTAGGCGCTCCCAGTCGACCCCCCCGTGCAACAGGAACACCACCTGTTCCCGGTCAGTCAGATCCTTCAAAAATGGGGTCCGTTGCAAAGCCGGGAGATGATGTCGGAGAGGGATCAGGATCTACCAGTACGGAAGATCTGGGACCAAATGGAGTGCCCAATACGTTACAGGCAGATGTTAATAAGGATACGACAGGGCCACCCAGTCACAAGAGACTATCCGAGGAACGGGCAAATAGTGAGTCTGAAGATTCTACCGAGGAGACCACTACGACCACCACCACTACAACACAGGCACCAAGCACTACGACTACAGAGGCGCCAACTGCGATGACCACCCGCGCACCGTCACGTCTTCGCGAAATGGACGGCAGCCTCAGCAGCTCTGCGTGGGTGTGTGCCCCGCTGGTGCTCGCCGCATCCGCGCTGGCGTACACCGCTGTGAACTGAAGAGGTGTGTGCGGGCTGTGCGTGCCAGCACTCAACCGCGGGGATTTGTGCGTGTGTGTTGTGGTTCACTGTATAAAATAAGAGGAAATAATGATTGTGTTTTGCTTCACTTGCTTCTGCCGTGCTGTGTGCTCCACGTTATGCCCCGCATCCGCCACGTTGAACGCATCGCGGACACACTCATATGCATGCGCACTGGGGCCCTGGGTTTGTTTTCTTTTCTCTTTTTTAATTATTGTTTTTTAATTATTGCTTTTTATTGCTTTTTAAGCTTCTGGTTTGCGGTGCGGTGTGCGAGCTCTGCAATCGTACTGATTCCATCTGTCTCGTGGTGTGTACGCTGCTGCCGGGGTGCTGCCATTTGTTGCTGTGCATGGTGTAGCGGCCGTGTCTCTCTTTGTTTTTCTCGTGCTATCGCAGGTTGGCTCCGCAGCGTTAGGCGACTCCACTGTTTGTGATGATGACTGGCCGTGTGCTCTGCGTCCTGTTGGCTCCTGCAGTGATGCGCAGCTGCTCGTGCGTGTGAGTGACGGCTGCTGCGACGGGGTGCGTGTGCGGCCGCGGGTGATGGCGCAGTGACTGCTGGGCACGCGCGGGGTGTGATGGCTGCGGAAGGTGGACCCGTGGCCGGTGGCTCTGGACGAAAGAGAATGTGAACTCTGAGGGCAATAGCAATCAGGAATACGAGGAGGGTGGAGGAAACACCGCGGGTGAGGACCCCAATCCCACCTCGGGAGGACCACTCACTGCACCGACGAGACAGGACCAATCCAGCAGCGACCCACTGCGAAGTGGCACTAGCAATCCGTCCGGCACTGGCAGCGTGTCTGCTGCTCGGATGCATGCAAGTGGACCGGAGTCTTTGGGCGGAGGGCACGCTGCAGGCACAACATCCCCACGCTCCGACGCATCTCAGCAGGCAGCGGGTGGAGTGCATGCTGGTGGCGGGAGGACCTCCCAGGGCAGTCGGGCTTCGGAACAAACCGTCACGGGACAGTCACAGGTGCCGGGGACGGCGAAGGAAGCACCGCAGGGCGATGAAGGAGGAGAACCCGGAGCGCAACACGAGGCCGACCAAACCACAAAAATGACTGTGGTGACCTCTTGCGCAAAAACAGCGGTGGAAGAGGAGAGCCGCCAGCGGGATCGCAAGATGCACCACGTCTCTATAGTGGCGGGAATGCTCATTGTTATTATTTTTCCCTGCTCTTACCGACATGTCTAGCCACACGATGTCACCAGGGTGCCGAGGAGGTGGTCGAGCAGCGACATGAGTTTCCTGCTATGAGGCAGCTGCCATTGGGAGAAGCTTTCGGTGCGAAGGCCCTTCTTGATGCCCAGCCGTTGGCGCACAGCCAGAGCGTCTGCACATTCCGGAAGCAGATGGTGCAGTGTTTTCTGCGGGCTAATTGTTGCGCTTGTGGAGGCTGGCTGATCCTGCGGTAGTAGTGATTGCCTCCTGGCACTGCTGCTGCGGTGCCGATCAGCGTCTGGGTTTTGTGCGCAGCGATTTCTGTGCTGTGCGGTGCCTTTTTTTGTGTGGGGAGGACTGTGTCGCAGCAATCGCGGTGGAGGTCGGGAAGCGGTGGAGGGCGTTCCGGACGAAGGCACCGACAGTGACCGATGTGGTTCGTGTGTCCCACCAGTGTGGCGTCACAGTGCGGGCATTTCTTCTTCCGACGCTGTGTGGAGGGCCGTCTCTCCACAGGCGGTGCGTCGGCCTCCCTTGTTGTCGGGGGAACGGCTTCCGTCCCGGTGCGGTGGGATCTTTGTTGGAGCGCATGAGAGCGGAGTGTTCCGGTGAGATGTTGCAGAAACGGCGTTGGTTCGTGCAGTCTCTCACAGTCCAGTACAGGCGACCCCATAGCTCGGATTCCTCGCACCCTTCCCGTGCAGTGTGTATCCGTTCCTGTTGGTCGAGGGCTTCTGAGTGATCATGTGCTTGCCGCCTGGATCTGATGGCCTGGCGCCGCCAAGCAGGTAGTGGTGGGTGTCCTGATGCATGGTACTACGCCACTTGTTGGTGAGCTGGGTGTTAATGCATGTCAGCAGGTCCGTGCGCTGTATGGGTGCTATTCCACGTTCCGTGTATTGCCCGGTTGCCGTGGTCTGCGTGGCATGATCTGCAAGCTCGTTAACATGTACTCCGCGATGTTCGTAGCAAAACTGCAGCTGCACTGACCAGCCAGCACGCATCAGCGACAAGAGACGCTGCCAGAGCCGATCCTCCGTCCAGTCGGTATGACTGCGCGGGCCCTTGGTGACGGCGGCTAGAAGGGAATGACTGTCCGTAACCACAAGCAGGGTTTTGTGTCTGTGCTGGACACGAGGGACATTCAGCCTTTCCATGGCCGGGAGCAGTGCACGGGATTCCGTCGTGCGGCTGCATGGGCGTGTGCCGCCGTTGGTACTGACCTTCTCTATTATTTCCGAGGAATGCGGGGATGAGAGCAGTATGCCAATCCCGGCTGACGTGGGAATGTCAACACCGCCATCCGTTGCGAGTATCCACGGTCCCCGGCGATGATGTTGCGCCTTGTCGCGGTGTTGGGTCTTTGGTTGCGTATAGGAACTCCGCAGCAGGGCGTTGCTGCGAGCACAACGGAGACCAAGGTGACTTCACCCCTCGAGAAGGTTCCACGCCATGCCCGGTGTGGGGAGGTGAGGCGGTCTGCCTGCAGACTGTCGGTCAGAACTGCACGACCGTTTCGCAGCGGTCACTCCGTTGATATCGCCCGTGGCGGTGACGTTCACAAGAACCCTGGCACCGAGGAGGATGGCTTCATCACTATTTGGCGGCTTAACATTGCAGGCCTCTCGTCCGTGAAAAAGATTGCATTTTCGGCGCGATGGGAGCAGCGTCCACCTGACATCGTTCTTCTGCAGGAAATAAGTAACCGTGGTGACGTGGCGACGAAATTATGTGGCCATAATGACTGCCTTCAGGCCGCACTGGGCGCGGTGGTGGCGTTGCCATTCTGGTGCGCCACTCTCCACCGTGCGAGCGCCTGTCGCTCCCTGGCACTGACCTCCTGGAGACTATTGCTGTCCGTGTATTTCCGCCGGGCTGTCGCAGCATTTGCGTGGCGAGTCTCTACAACCCTCCCACAGCAATTGGTCAATAATCCGCATTTATCAATATCGTTTGTCGCTTGGGCCCGAAGAGATTATCGCGGGTGACCCGAATTTGCATCGTGAACTCTCGGACAGTCATATACACCATCAAGGACTGGAGGCGATAATTTCGCCGCTGTTCTAATCGATACGGATTTTGGCTGGCAAATTACCCGGCGCAGGTAACACGGATCACACATCGTAATGCCTCGTCCCCTGACGTGACTGCGTATTGCGCCCTACGCATCTCCCACTGGACATTCGCCCCTTACATGAACTCGGACCATTGCTGAATATCTTACTTGGTAGAGATGGACGATGGCACTCCACGACTAGCAAACACGCTGCCTTGACGGAAGAAGGCCACCCTTGCTCTGCGTAAAGCGGGTTGGCCTGCTTTTACATCGTTGTGTGAAACCCTCCTTGCCACCGCGTCCACATGGTTGGATCCTCGCGGAGGCATCTTACGAGCAGCTGAGCGCCACATCCCGCGCGGCAGCCGTGACAGCTCCAAAAAGATATGGACACACGAAATGGAACAGGCCGAGTCCGCCGCCGAAGCAGCACACGAAGCACACACATTGCCTCACCCGGAGACAGCCTACTTTGAGTCGAATGTACCCGAAAAAAGGGAGGAGCGAAATCAAGCCTTACGCCGTTGCTCCGCTGTGCTTCTGGAAGCCCGCGCGAAAAGACTTGGAGCCTCACCCAGCCCGAGCTGGCGATATCTTCACGGCGTGGCGCCGCCGCACCCTCATTTTTTGGAATCGGTTGTGCTCCGCACTGAACTTGGCCGCGTATGCGCCCTGCCTCGGCAACAGGCAAATCTGCTTGTCCGTCATTTTGTGCGGTTTCACGTGCCATACCGCCTTGTACTGCTGCTGCTGCTCGCTGCACTCCTTTGGTTCCTGGTGGCTGGGAAATGGATCGGCCTTTCCCACCGTATGTACTTGACGTGACCATCCGTGACTCTTTGCTTGGCTCAGCCCCTGGTCCCGACGACATGTTGAATGAATTCCTGCACCGTCTCGTGCCCGTTGCGCGTGGCACACTTAGAACGATGATCCACAACTTCTTCGCAAACGGCAGCCTGCCTGGCTCCTGGAAAATGGGAGATGCTATTCCCATTCCCAAGCCCGGGAAGGATCCATGCCGCCCAGAGAGTTACAGACCCACCACGCTGCTCTCTGTTTTACTAAAGTTAGCCGAAGGAATGATTCACCGCCGTCTGTCAGCGTTATTGCCGCACCACCCACGTCAACTTCGGATTTGCACCTCCGCGTTCTACGTCGGACGTGGTGGCACTTGTTGTCGACAAATTACCCGTGGATTGAATGAGTTTGGCATTGTGGAGCATGAGCGCCCTGGAGACGACGCCCCCACACGACGCCCTCGTCGCCATCGCTCGCTTGTGGTCTCGATTGATTTTCCGACTGCGTTCGACACCACTGACCATGGGAATTTATTCCGCATGCTTGACAGACTTCCGCGCCTTGGCCACGAACCAAACGCTGGCTGCACAACTACCTGCGGGGCCGCCATGTTAGGGTATGCACTCGCGAACAGCACTCCCGGAAACAACTCGCCTCAGCTGGAGCACCGCAAGGCGGCGTCCCGGGACCCCAACTCTCCCTCTACTGTGTGGATGGTCTGCTGCGCCGCCTGGGCAGCATCTATTCTGCCTCCGCTTTCATGTACGCTGACGAACACACACACTTGTTGCCTCATGTGCAGACATCCATGCCTGTGCTGCGGCAATGCGACCGCTCTTGTCTCTTGTGGCCACATGGGCTGCCGAGCACAGCCTAAAAATCAACGTCGCTAAGAGCGAAGCTGCTCTATTCCACATCTCTTCACACACACACGGTCCGACGAGGACATGTTCGATCTCCATCTTGTTAGCGGGAACATATGTATTCAGTCACGCCCAGTGCGCTTACTGGGCAACACGTTCGATCGACTTCCTAATTCTGTTACGCATGCTTCCACCGCTGCAAAGAGGACCATGCCACGCCGCCATCAGCCGCGTCTGGTCGCAGAGGCGGACGCGTCCCATCACACCATGCGATCCTTTTTGATTGGATGCGTGCATAGTGTGCTATTTCATAATGGCGAGGCAATTGTCCCGTGACTCGCCCCCACTCACCTCCATAATATGGAAGTACGGTACCGCGACGGTAGCAAAACATTCTTGGCCTGAGCGCATCTACGGAAGACACATCTGTCTATTTGGAGGCCAATATTCTTCCGCTCCGGAAGGCACTCTGGCGTCGTGCATTCACACAATACGAACGCTATATACGCCTCCATGATCACGAGGATTTGCGTTCCCTTATCTACTCGCAACCTATGCCGCCGTCCATGCATGGGAAAGCGGCGACATCAATCCCGCTTCCGAGAGATGCTGCTATTAATGGATTGCTACGCGTCTGTGACATTATTGGGACACCCCACAACCACATTCGCGCGCCTCTTGCCCAACATCGAATTTTTCCTGGGACACTGTGATCTGCAACAACGTGAGATTTTATCAGCCACTGTTTGCCGAAGACGCCTCTGACGATGTCAGGCGCACGGCTTTTTATTCTACTCACTCCTCTTTGGGGGATTGTGATTTTGAATTGTGGACGGACGGTCGTTCGTCTCTCGCTGCACTCGCATCTGGATCCGCTGCGCTATTATATGACTCCACCACGACAAATGATCTCCCTGTGGAGGTACATCGTGCAGCAGCTGGCAGCCTCGCATGCTCATATAGGGCAGGCTGCCTTGCGATCGAAAATGTTTTTAGACATCTCATACCCTCCTTGTCTGGGAGCATCCCAATCGCCCCACGCGAATGCTGGAGGAAACGGACTCCCTCTTCGGCAATGGAGGCACCCCGCGTTGCCCCACCGACCGTGCGAGAACCGCGTTACTGAGCAAATTTGGATTATGTTGCTTTCATTAGTGCAGCGAGGTCACCCTGTGGATTTTATATTTTCCCCTCACACTGCGGTATTCCACGCAGTGAGGCCGCTGACAAACAAGCCACGATTGCACGATTCCTCCCGCAGGACTGCGTCAATGCCTGGCACGTGGACTTCCTTACCGCCGTCAAGAGGTCATAATGGAAGGATGCCCAGGAGGAAAAGGAGGGCGCGCACACCGCGTGACAGGCGCCTGTCGGTGTGGCGAGGACTCTGTTCCTGGTGTTGACCCGGACATCGGTTCCCGAGTGGCGGCACCGCGCACAGGCGCGATGCGACTCCTGCCCACTCTTCGACAGGCCTGCACGCGACCTGCGGATCACAAGGAACCCTCTGTGTCGGTGGTGCCGTCCCTCCCTGACTGCGGTGACCGGCCCGCCTCTGCCTCCGCCGGAACCTCTTCCCGACGTGAGTGCCGCGACTCCTTGTCGACCAGCGAGCGGCGGATTGACGTCCTCCTGCCCAACCTGCGGCAGAGTGCGCTTGTCCGTCCACAGTATGAGGGCACATGCCCGGCGTGCTCAGCCTGGCGTTATAATAGTTCGCGAGGGCCTCCCATGCGGATGCCACAATGGCGCCACCGTCTTCTTAACGGGCGCCTCGCGCGCAGGTCGGCACCGAAGTTGCCAAGCATGCCGGCAGGCAAGACACGCAGGAAGCACAAACGCGGGAACTCGAGATGGACCAGGCTCTTCCGCCACCGCCTCATCACAGACACCACGGGCTGCTGATCCCCGACGGACCACGGGAGACTCCGCCTCATCCACTGCGGGAATGCCCTCGTCGTTGGGAACTGGACTGCGACTGTGTGGGACTGCCCCAGCCCGCACGACGGAATACTTGCCACTTTTGTACGGACGGCCCTTGCGCTACCCACTCGTTATTGTAGCAGCATACAACCAAAACAAGATAAAAAGCTTCTTTGTGGTGAATATTGGCTGCACTTCCCGTGGACCAACAATCCGCGTGGTGTGCGGGGATCTTCTTTTAATTGTTACTATGCTTTTGTGTTGCTGTGTGCGCTGCACCTTCTTGTGTGTGTGCGCACCCTCCGTGCGGGGTGCCGACACGACGGACCGCTCTCGCCGCATGTGCATGCGGTGGAGCCTTGTGTGCCGCTCCTGTTTGCTTCTCCCTCCTCCATCTGTGTGTTGGTGTTGTGGCAGGGCTGTGTGTGTGTGTGCCTGCTGCCGTGGATTGGAGTGTGTGTCGTGCGTGGTGTGCGGCGTACGGTGCATGCCTGGCTGCTGCCCTCTCCTCATGTGGTGTGCCCTCTGTGTGTGTCTGCTGCACCTCTCGTCTCCCCTGTTGCTCTCCACTTCCCTCACTGTGCAGATCAGCTCCACACCACTGACCGACCACACTCACGATGATGACGTGCCGTCTGCTGTGCGCCCTGTTGGTGCTCGCCCTGTGCTGCTGCTGCCCGTCTGTGCACGCGGGAGACACTGATGCGAAGAATGAAGAAGAGTCTTCCCAGAAGAACATAATTTCGGCGCCAACCCCGACACCTGTTCGGGAAGGTGAAGAGTCGGGTGCCGGACATGCAGATACTGCAGTAAATGGAAGTGGTTCGACCGATAAGGAACAGCAATCAAGTGATGCTCCCAATGAGTTACAAGAAAAAAGTACGGAAGGTATGACGGGGGCAGAAAGTGGCACGAGTATACCCGCAAAACAAGGAACTAAGGGTGAAGAAGGTCCTGCCGAGACGGCCAAAACGACCGCTACGACGACCACCACAACAAAGGCACCAACAACCACCACGACGACCACCACTACAGAGGCACCAAGTACTACGACTACAGAGGCGCCAACTACAACGACCACCCGCGCACCGTCACGTCTTCGTGAGATCGACGGCAGCCTCAGCAGCTCTGCGTGGGTGTGTGCCCCGCTGGTGCTCGCCGCATCCGCGCTGGCGTACACCACTCTGGGCTGAAGAGGTGTGTGCGGGCTGTGCGTGCCAGCACTCAACCGCGGGGATTTGTGCGCGTGTGTTGTTGTTCACTGTATTAAATAAGAGGAAATAATGATTGTGTTTTGCTTCACTTGCTTCTGCTGCCGTGCTGTGTGCTCCGCGTTGTGCCCCGCATCCGTCACGTTGAACGCATCGCGGACACACTCATAAGCATGCGCACTGGAGCCCTGGGTTTGTTTTTCTTTTTTAATTATTGTTTTTTAATTATTGTTTTTTATTGCTTTTTAACTTGTGGTTTGCGGTGCGGTGTGCGAGCTCTGCAATTGTACTGATTCCATCTGTCTCGTGGTGTGTGCGCTGCTGCTGCTGGGGTGCTGCCATTTGTTGCTGTGCGGTGGCTGTGAGTGGTGTAGCGGCTGTGTCTCTCCTTTTGTTTTTCACATGCTATCGCAGTTTGGCTCCGCAGCGTTAGGCAACTCCACTGTTTGTGATGATGACTGGCCGTGTGCTCTGCGTCCTGTTGGCTCCTGCAGTGATGTGCAGCTGCTGGTGCGTGTGAGTGAGGGCTGCTGCGACGGGGTGCGTGTGCGGCCGCGGGTGATGGCGCGGTGACTGCTGGGCACGCGCGGGGTGTGATGGCTGCGGAAGGTGGACCCGTGGCCGGTGGCTCTGGACGAAAGAGAATGTGAACTCTGAGGGCAATAGCAATCAGGAATACGAGGAGGGTGGAGGAAACACCGCGGGTGAGGACCCCAATCCCACCTCGGGAGGAGCACTCACTGCACCGACGAGGCAGGACCAATCCAGCAGCGACCCACTGCGAAGTGGCACTTGCAATCCGTCCGGCACTGGCAGCGTGTCTGCTGCTCGGATGCGTGCAAGTGGACCGGAGTCTTTGGGCGGAGGGCACGCTGCAGGCACAACATCCCCACGCTCCGACGCGTCTCAGCAGGCAGCGGGTGGAGTGCATGCTGGTGGCGGGAGGACCTCCCAGGGCAGTCGGGCTTCGGAACAGACCGTCACGGGACAGTCACAGGTGCCAGGGACGGCGAAGGAAGAACCGCAGGGCGATGAAGGAGGAGAACCCGGAGCACAACACGAGGCCGACCAAACCACAAAAATGACTGTGGTGGCCTCTTGCGCAAAAACAGCGGTGGAAGAGGAGAGCCGCCAGCGGGATCGCAAGATGCACCGCGTCTCTACAGTGGCGGGAATGCCCATTATTATTATTTTTCCCTGCTCTTACCGACATGTCTAGCCACACGATGTCATCAGGGTGCCGGGGAGGTGGTCGAGCAGCGACATGAGTTTCCTGCTATGAGGCAGCTGCCATTGGGAGAAGCTTTCGGTGCGAAGGCCCTTCTTGATGCCCAGCCGTTGGCGCACAGCCAGAGCGTCTGCACATTCTGGAAGCAGATGGTGCAGTGTTTTCTGCGGGCTAATTGTTGCGCTTGTGGAGGCTGGCTGATCCTGCGGTAGCAGTGATTGCCTCCTGGCACTGCTGCTGCGGTGCCGAGTAGCGTCTGGGTTTTTTGCGCGGCGATTTCTGTGCTGTGCGGTGCTTTTTTGTGTGGGGAGGACTGTGTCGCAGCAATCGCGGTGGAGGTCGGGAAGCGGTGGAGGATGTTCCGGATGAAATGACCGACAGTGACTGAAGAGACCCGAGAATCCCGTCAATGTAGAATCACAGTGCGGACATTTCTCCTTCCGACGGCGTGTGAGGGTCCGTCCCCTTACTGGAGAGACGTCTTCCTCCCTCGCCGACGGGGGAACAGTGTCCGTCCCCGGTGCAGTTGGATCGTTGTTAGAGCGCATATATGCAGACTGTTCCGGTGAGATGTTGCAGAATCGGCATTGGTTCGTGCAGTCTCTCACGGCCCAGTATAGTCGGCCCCAGAGCTCAGATTCCCCGCACCTTGCCCTTGCGAGGTGAACCAGTTCCTGACGGTGTAGACTTCCTGAGTGATTAGGTGCTTGCCGCTGAGATCGGATGGCCTTGTGCCGCAAAGCAAGTAGCGATGAGTGTCTTGACGAATGGTACTACGCCACTTGTTGGTGAGCTGGGTAGTGAAACATGTCAGCAGATCCGTGTGCCATAAAGGTGCTATTCCATTCTCCGTGTATTGTCCACTTTCCATAGTCTGCGTCGCATGCTGATCTGCAGGCTCGTTAACGTGTACTCCGCAATGTCCGTAGCAAATCTGCAGGTGCACGGACCAGCCAGCACACGTCAGTGTCAAGAGACGCTGCCAGATCTGATCCTCCGTCCAGTCGGTATGACTGTGCGGGCCCTTGGTGACGCGACTAGAAGGGAATGACTGTCTGTAACCACAAGCAGGGTTTTTGCCTGTGCTGGATACGATGGACACTCAGCCTTTCCATGGCCGGGAGCAGTGCGTGGGACTCCGTCGTGCGGCTGCATGGGCGTGTGCCGCCGTTGGTACTGACCTTCTCTATTATCTCCGAGGAATGCGGGGATGAGAGCAGTATGCCAATCCCTGCTGACTTTGGAACGTCGACACCGCCATCGGTCGCAAGTATCCACGAACGACGGCTGTGCAGCGCCAGAGCCTCTTCGCTGACTCTGCGCTTTTCCCGTATCAGCTCTTCTTCGTCAGTTATTGAGAGGTCTATCGGAAGTTCCACACCGATGGTGACCCGGTGAGCGGAGGCCGCAAACCAGGGAGGAATGGAGCTGCGAAAGAACCGCTCTTCGCGTGGTGAGCTCTCGGTGATGCCGTAGTCCTTTGTGTATGCGTCTACGAAGGCATATAGCTCGTCCCGAGATAATGGCGAGATGCGGAAACCAGCGCGAGGCGGCGGCTCAGGCGGGGGTCTCCGCATCCAGTCCATCTGACATGCGCGTGTGTTCTCAAATATGGAGAGCCGCGCGCGCAGGCAAAGGACGCGGAGCGGCGGCATATTAGCCTCCAGCAGTGCGGATTCCGGGTCGACAGTGCTCGGAACTCCGCTGACAATGCGTGCTAGAGTTGCGTACGTCTTCTGCATCTCATTCTTCGCTGAATCCGTCGCTACTGCCCATATGAGCTCGCTGCCATAGCGTAATTAGGGAGCACCGTATCCAATGACGAACGTGCGTAGGTCATGTGGAGATGGTCCCGCCTCTTTGTGCGCTATGCAGCGTAGCTGCGATATCCGTTGCGAGGTGGCAGCGCATTGCTTGGTGGCCGCCACATTTAGCGTCAGTCGTGGATCGAGATCCCTGCCGAGAAGCTTCGTAGTTCGCGATGCCCCCATGGTCATGACTGGGATTTGACATCCAGCCACTACCAGCGGCCACCTTCCTTCACGATCATAATCTGACTCCGTGTGCGTGGAGAGTGTGAACCAAGCGGCTTCACACTTTGACGGGTTGATGGCCAGGCCATTTTCCCGACTCCACGCATGCAGTTTTTCAAGAACCATGTTGGCAGTGGGAATGGCGTCTTCCCGGGACTGCCCCTTAACGATAATAGAGAGGTCGTCCGCATACATGTCTGCTGCGACACCCGCAAAGCTGTTCAGCAGATTAAGAAGTGGGTGTACGTAAAGGGAGAACAAATATGGTCCCAGCACGGACCCCTGAGGAACTCCTCGCAGCATGGGACGCCGATCGCTGTGTCTGTGGCCAACTCGTGTCTTCGCGTAGCGACCACATAGAAAGTTTCTAAGCCACCCTCTACAATTCACCCCCGGAATATTAGCCAGCAAGCGACTGAGGACTCGATGATCTATGGAGTCAAAGGCCTTGCTGAAAACAACCAACACCAGCAGGGTCCGATGGGGTCTGTAGTGGAGTTGATTGCCAATACCGCTCTTCTTGGGAAGGCTCACTTGGAAATAGTGATTTCTATTATGCTCCACTTCGTGTATCAGGTGTGCCAGCTGCATCGTCGTGGTACGCATACTACGATATGCATACTGGTGGGGGTGCGGCGTCCACACCCAAAGCAATCTCTTCAGTACCATTTTCTCAGCAACCTTACTCACAATGGAGGTAAGGCTGATGGGTCGACATGACTCAAGCAGTTCCGGCGACTTACCGGGTTTTAAGGGTGGAACGATGGTAGCGCGTCTCCACTCAACCGGGATCGTACCGGTCGTCCAGCTGTGGTTAATGCAACGAAGAAGGAATCGGAGGCCCTTTGACGAAATATGTCGCAGTGCCTCACTGTAGACTTCATCCGGTCCGGGGGCCTTGCCATACGGCGTGTTACGTAGCGCAGCAAGCAGTTCCGTACGATTAAAAGGTGCATCAAGAGGGGAGTGAAGATGAGCAACTAAACCAGATGTGGTGACAGCTTCGTTTTTATCCTGTGGCTCAGAACTAGATGAGAGTGAAGAACCTGAAGTAAATGTAGCGGCAGACTCGTTGTTGTTCTGCGGCTCGGAGCTAGAAGAAGTAGAAGAAAATGAAGTAAATGAGGCAGCAGACTCGCTGTTGTTCTGCTGCCCAAAAAGAAAGGAAGCGTTAATGTTCAAAGATGCACTCTGTCTGTTGATGCCTTTGGAAAACCTAACTGCCTTGTGAGAGGGGTGAAATGGAAGAAAGATGCGATTGAGAGCATTCGCTGCTCTCCTTGCTGTTTTATAAGTGTGCTGACCATCTCCCAATAACATTGATGTGGGAGATGGAAGTGATGCCCTTTTTCGTCCGGAAATGTATTTCCATGCGAGTGGCTCGCCTGGATTTAACTTGCTGATGCGGCGTAGATACGTGCTGCGCAAGCGCTCTCGGAGCAGGAGGAAGAATTGACTCCTTGTCCGTTGCATTTCTGCCTCACGGTCGGGCGTCGGTAACTGTAGATAGCGGGCCTTGCTGTCGGTAGCCATCCGCTCTGCCTCCATGAGAGTGTCGTCCCAAAGCCTGGGACCGTCCTTGTGCATGCCGCGGGGCAGTGTCGTCGATACGAAGTTATAAGCGCTCTCGTGGAAGCCTTAATGCCGGTGGACTGCTTTTTATAGTCATATGCCGGAAGTTGTGCGTCGAAGTCCTTGATGAATAAATCCCACTTGCACTT